AACCCTCTTCAAAATGGTGACTTTGTAATTCAAATAAAATAAAACACAACTACAAATACATATAACACAGGGTAACTTGCATTAATATAACCCAATCTCCACACCCCTCACATAACAGATCTCATGTCAAAATTAACCAAAATGTATGCTTCCTCAATTTGTCTGTTAATGTATATTACATTTTGGTAGAAATAAATATCTTAAACACTCTCCTAAACTTGCTGTATGACTGTAAGTTTTTCCTTTATTCAATGAAAAACTATGTAACATTTAGTTCTCATCAGTGTTTTTGGTGATTTTGGTCACATGTTGGAGACTGCAAAAATGTTTCTTTTCTTTTTGATTTCAAGTTATTGCTACAAAACAATGAGACATTTCAAATTATAGTAATAAGAAAGCCAGACACATATAAAGTTAGTGCTCTATCGAAGCATTTTAGTAATTATCTATCAATCTATTCATTTATCTAACACTTTTCTTGGCTATGTATTTATTAACACACCTACTTACATATCTAATACCATCAAGCTTTCTAACTATCTATATGTAAGTATTGGTGTTTCTGTACATCTCTTCTACTCCTTTTGTTAACTATATATATATATATATATATATATATATATATAAACAGAAACAGATATCTATGAATATATATATATATATATATATATATATATATATATATATATATATATATATATATCCATCTATTTGTCTATTGATCTATCATTTTATATATATTTTTTATTTACTGTCAAGGAACATTTTTCATTCAATATGTCTGGAGGCAATATACAATGGTAAGGCTGAGAATGGCACTAATGAGTAAAATTATTTTTTTTCACAAAGATATCCACACTTAGACACACTTACATATATATATGTGTGTGAGTATGTGTGTGGGGGGAGTGGGAACATGTATATGAAGGTATATATGTAAACTTCCATAAGTTTATGCTTGCCAAAAATGTATATATATATATATATATATATATATATATATGTAGATGCATATATAATATATATATGTACATATTAGTATCTGCAAATATATTTCACATAGCTAAATATATCAATATATAAACATACATCGCATACATATTGTAAATCTATTCTGAGATGATTACATCCTGATATATATATATATATATATATATATATATATATATATATATATATATATATATGCATAATTTTGTATGTATGTTTCAAAATTCACATATTCACTCTAATATTCATTTATTTACTTTCATATATATATATATATATATATATATATATATATATATATAAAATGTACACATACATGTATGTGGTTGTGTATAAGATACAAGAGAGTATCAGTCTCTCTATTATCTAAATTATATTTTTTATTTCACATATATATATATATATATATATATATATATATATATCCATTTGGGTGCTACCTTACCTCATGAACAAATCTCAACACAAGCTTATATATATAAATATAAATGTGTTGGGGGTGTAGAGTAGGAGTGAATTTCTCTCACTCTAACATCTGAATTCACTAACAATTTAGACGCTAAGTGAGTTATTTGTTCCGCTGGGCATTTTATATAATACATTTATGTTAAAATTCAAATTACAAATCGTAACAGAAAACACTTAAGAAAGTAAAAATGAAAATTACCTTCATAAATAAAATATAAAAAAAAACATTTAGTGATTCCAGTTTAAAATTGGTTTCAGAATTTATAAGCTAAGCTGACGGGACAATTTTTATTTGCAGCATGAAATACAAGTGTTACTTCATATATTGAATATAAATGACATACTACCATTAATTCCTCCTCATGACCATTAATCTTGAGCCTTTGCTTCAACCCTCAGTACTGGTTAAAATGTTTTCTTTTCCAAAAGATTTCAAAATTAACAGTCGCTTAAAATGCAATTATTTTCACATGCAAACCCACACAAACACATTTACATGATATCTACAATGACGTTTGAAATTCTGTGAAGCCCCAACTGAGAAATGATCATTGTTATTTTGAAAAATTTTAAAATCAATCATTAAATATACATCCAAACACCAATGGAGCTGCAGTCTTTTTTATATGGTAAAAAGTACCACCTTTCCAATGTTCCCAAATATCACCTTTCTGCTTGGCATTGTTGATATGTGAGTCTAGAAATTGGCATTAGAGTAGCTTGGTTGGTTTCCCTATTCTTTTAATCAATGTTTCCCAACCAATTTACTAAGGAAGTCGCATTTGATTGATCAGCATAAATTGAATAATTAAATATCCAAATGTGTGTTTCATCTAAATTTGTATTTCAAGGAGCACAATTTCATTGGAAAATAATGTATCAAATGTATTTGATAGATATTATTATAAATTATATGCCTATTGAAAATTTTAAAGCCTGTATAACATATGATAATTGTTTATGAAAATGGACAAGGCTTAAAAGTCGTTGTAAAATTTATTTTCGAATTCTACCTTATTTATATTAAATTCTACATTATTGGAGCTTTTGCATGCACTTACATCCACACTACAATGAAACACGACTTCCTGTACAATATGCTAAAAAAATTTCCTTTCCTGTTGGCATTGTTCATCAGTGACATGATGCTGGGTTCTCCTCCCTTTTAATTTAGGCTGCCCAACAAATTTACAAAGGATGATTTGATTGGCCAGCTTAAATTGACTATTTAAGCACCATAATGTATTTCAGCTGAATTTATTGTTTTTCAGAGAGCAAATCTTGTTATTGATTTTAAGTTTCACATGTACACCACACATCAAGGTAAGCTAAATCTGATTTATTTATTTGACCCTGATGAGAAGTGTATACACAAAACTTAAAATCAGTTACAAAATAAGTCCTTTGAACTTTGTTGACTATGCACATACACACACACAAGTACACACAGAAACACACACACACACACATATATATATATATATATATATATATATATATATATATATATATATATATATAAGGTCATTCTGTTTTTTTTTTTTTTATTGTATTTTTCCAATTTTAAGATAAAGTGTTGAGTATTTCCTACTTGTTCTTTATCCTGTCATTTTGTCAGATTCCTATCCATACTTGATCTATATTTGATCTTCTATTCATATATATATATATATATATATATATATATATATATATATATAGGGAAGTAAGGAAATAAGTGTAATTTTATGCTAAAATTATTATAAATGATATATAAACATCTTTTATATAAAGTATAATTATTACAATATCTGTATATATACATATAAATATATATATATATATATATATATATATATATATATATATATATACATTAATGGATGCCCACTTATATTCGAGGATACCTGTCTACTAGGGCGAATAGATAATCCCTATTGCAGATGCTTGCTCAGGCACATTTTGAGTTTGTTCAACAACCACAGAGCTGTGGTTTATACTGTAACTATGGAAAGCAGACCTTAGTTGCAGTTTCTGGGGGAGAAGAATGTTATCTAGTACAATCAACAATCTGAACAAGCCCAGCATATTCAAACCTAGCACATCCATGGACAGCCTCTGAAGTTTTCGTCAACGTAATTTCACTCACAAACCATGGGTCAACTCATGGTATGGTTTCAGTCACTTTCCAAAGGTGCCTGATGCTGGGATCGCCACTTCCAGACCAATAACATCACCTTCCTGACAAATCGACTGTAGTGAGAGTTTAACCCAGGTCTCATGCTCAGGAAATAATTGTTCTGACTACTCAGCCATGGGCCCATATGTAAGGTTCAGACACACTACTCAGTCATAATTGATCTAGTGAGACTAGCTTGCTAACCTTTACACCATATCAAAGTGCTCAAGTGCATATGTAATATCAAAATCGGAAGTGTTATCTAAGTGTTATTTATTTTTTCACTATGAATATTCTGTGTATTCATATATATATATATATATATATATATATATATATATTAAATATCAAATATTTTTGTACATACATATAAAGCTGTATCAGTGTGTGTGTATATATATATATATATATATATATATCTCTATATATATATATATAAATGCAAGTTACATATTTATTCATACATATATGTGTGTGTGTGAGTGTGTGTGTGTTTTGTGTGTGTGTACACTAGTATGTGTGCCTATGTGTGTGTATATGTGCATGAGTGTGTATGTGTGCATGCTAGTACTATCCGGAGCTGATTATTTTCAAAATCATAAATCAGAAAAAAAAAAAATGTCAGAAGTAATTTAAGGCAAAGAAAAAGACCACAGATTATTATCTTATTGTCAATTTTGCCTCATTTTGCCATTGAAAGACCATTTTTATTTTAGTCTCCCAAAATCTGATCGCAGAGCGAGTGTTCACCTCACTGATTGGGCCTAAAGATTCACATTTGCCATAATTTGAAACATGGTTAGTTGTTAAGTTAAACAAGACAACTTTATAACTTCCCAAAGTTATTGGGGCAAGAAAAATGTAGCTAAAGATCCTTCAATATGTCTGCTTTATTAGGAAGAGCATTGTCATGTAGACCATGAGGTTTTAGAAAAGAAATCAAAAATGTTGCTAATCATCTAATACATTTTTCAGAAGTACATAACCAACTGTTACCCATCATCATATGCTGATGTTGATTTGCTTAGAAAATGCATATATAAATATGATCACATATATAAATATGATCATATATATATATATATATTCAGCCACAGACAGACTGTTTTGCTGTATCACAACTCTTCAGTGTGGTTTAGACGTCCGATTGCTTCAAGCCAGGATCAAAATCGGCTGATTTGATATCAGCCAGAGATTATTCTCCTAGGCTATTGTCAAATGGCAGAGAGGAAGAGAAATTTTAACATTTTCTATGCGAAATATGTCAGTGGCCCGGAGAGCTCAGTTCAATTTGGTTGAAGAGCAATGCATTAATAGTGGTATGAGCCACTGTTTTTAAGATGATCCTTTTCTCCAGAGAGCTCAACCAGATTCCCTGGGAAACAACTATAGATAGATAGATAGATAGATAGATAACTGTTAGAATAATAATGGCTCTTCTGACCATACAGAAGATATAGACAATGTAATATGATATTAAGGTGATTTGCATGATTTGATTTGCTTAATTCATTTTCTATGGTTTATTAACCCTTTGCAGGTTATTTAAAACCAGAAAATATTTTAGACTGTAAATTTTTTGGTGAGGGAGATAATAATGATTTAGTGATACAAGTCTTACTAATTAACCCATAGCTGGGGAGAAAAAAGGTGGATTCTTACCTTTCCCAAGGGTATTTGCACATAACTAAATATAACAAAACCAAGTGGAATTGAAACTCTGCTCTCTGATTAACATTTCCAAGGCATTATCCATTAAATCAACTGTACATCCAAGCTTAAAGCACCTCATATTCCTAAGCAGCCACCCATGTAGGTACTGATAAGACTTGATGTTGCTTAACTTCAGTGATTGTACAGGAACATGTGTTTCAACATGATGTGGCTGTAAGACTTATCATGTGCTATTTATTCCTATAATAAATTACTTGCAGTACTTTTCTGTAGTAACATAATTTATAAAGAATGGGTTTGAACAGCTTTTTCCAATGATAATGTCTCTTCTCAAAAATGTAGAAAATATATTTACAATGCATTTTAGTATTTTAGTATCAGTATAATTTGTAATGACTTTCTCAAGAAATATTACTGCAATTCATTTCTATAGTAACATTGTAAGTAATGTAATTGTATAGTGCTATAATTTACAATTTATTTGTATCAAAAAATAAGTTACAAGTAATAAGTTAGCTTTTACTTTTTTTTTCTGTTTTATTCAAATTTTGGAGTAAAAACGTATGACAAATATAGTAAAATAATGTCCTATGTCCTTCTATATGGCAATGAAGTCTGGACAATTTCATGACAGATGAAGAGGAGACTTGAGGCAATGGGAATGTGGTTTTACAGAACAATGCTGAGAATACCATGAACAAAGCATGTATGCAACAAGGAAGTTTTATGGAAAATGGAAGTAAAAATTATACTTGTATTTAGAGACAGATGAAAAATTAGAAGAGACAAGTGAAATTTCTTGGACATATAATGAGGATTAACTGATTAAGTTTTTATGGTTTATCAACCCTTTGCAGGTTATTTAACCCCTTCTCTGGCATAGGTATGTATATATGTTATTACCAAAGGTGTCTTTTTCAGAAGAATAAACACATCCAAGACATAACATTCAAAAAGTAACTACAGACGTGTTTATACATTGATCCTGATTCTTTTTATGCCTCTTTCAGAGGTCCAAACAAGACGATTGTCAAATCATAAATCTGGTAAAGGTGTTAGGTATCACTTGGGTACTTCAAGGTACCTCATTTTCTTAGTTACTATATTAAAAATAAATAAAAATATTTGTCTGAATATGAAACATTTTTCCCAAAATCAATGGCACAAAAGGAGTTAAAGGCAAAACATATTCTGGATTGTAAGAATAAAGCTAAAATATATTTTGCATTGTAAGAAAAATAGGAATAATATAAGAGGCACATTGGAGTAGTGGATAGTGGCTCAGATTGCGGAATCAGAGAGCCAAGTTCGAATTCCAATCGAATCCATTACATTCATTAATGTGCTAATACCCTTGGGAAAAGTATGAAGCCTCTTCTTCTCCCACCAGCTATGGGTAAATAGCAGAACAGACCGGATTCTATAGCCTTGAATGGCAACAGGTCTACTGAAGAAAGAAATGGCAACCTACTGCAGGAAAAAAAATCTGCCTTGTCAGTCATGTATCAAAAGATACATGATCACCTAAGCATGTATCATGCATGGCACAGAACCAGCTGACTTTCTGGAAGAGGCATGGGGGAGTAATGGATAGTGGCTCGAATTAAGGAATCGGAGAGCGAAGTTTGAATTCTATTCAGATTTATTAGATTCACTTATGTGCTAATACCCTTGGGAAAGGTATGAATCTTCTTCTTCTTCCTCCAGCTATGGATAAATAACAGGACAGACAGGGTTCTATAGCCTTGGATGGCAACAGATCTACCACAGAAAGAAATGGCAACCTACTATGGGAAAATATCTGCCTCGTCAGTCATGTATTAAAAGAGACAGGATCACACATGGCATATAACTGACTGACTGAATAATAATATATTTTTTGGGGAACTGAATATTGCATTAACAATTTTTGGGAGGATAACAATGATTTTTCCTGATACAAGTCCTACTTTTAAGCTATCGCTTGGTGGGGAGAAGGATTCTTACCTTTCCCAATGGTATTTGCACCTCAGTAAATGTAACAAACCTTTTAATCTAAACTCAGATCTTCACTTTCACATTCAAAGCTACTGTCCATTACACCACCCACACATAATGTGGAAAGAGGGCTTAGAAAATTTGACACTTACAAGATATATTGAAGGCAAGAGAGATAGAAAGAAACAGTGAGTAATCTGTCTGTGTGTAAATGGTATAGAAGTGAGTGGGTGGAATGGTAAAAAGACAAGCATTGCTCAGAGCTACAAAGGATAGGAAAGTGTGGAGGGCTATTGTAACCTACATTCAAAATGCTCATGGTACATAAAAAAACTTCTGTCCAGAGCAATAAATTTCAAGTAAAGAAGGTTTTTTTTGTTTGTTTTTTTAAATTGTTCAAGTTATTTTTTTTGTATCTGGAATATTTATTTATCCTGATGATTTATTTCTTCAAATTCAACGGGTTTTTTTTTATTTTTCTCCCCTTAAATCACATTGTCACAAATAAGATTGAGAACTTTGTCAAAAAGAGTTACTGATATTTAGCAAATAGGTTGAGCACGAAGAAATGCATTCTGGGATTGTTGCATGATTTATCTTCATTGCAGCTGACAAACAAATGATGTGCCGATATATCATGGCCGTAAAGTTGAAAATTGTGGGAATAAGAATGGATACTTAAACGGCTGTCAGCTGAACCACTTGTCTTTTGCTGAACTAGAATGGGAGAGCATTTCCTGCAGACATGATGGGTGAAATGATTTCATCAAAAAACTGGAGAAGCAGAAAAGTCAAGATAGGTGATATTAAAAAGTTACAGAGAAAACCAACTGAGGATTAAAAGCAGGAAAAAGTTGAAAAAAGTAATAGAAAGAAAAAAAGAAACGAAATGTTTCATTGCAATTGGTGTTAAAAAATAGGAAGGTAAATAAAATGAAAGATATTTATAAAAACCAGAATGTAGATAATTGTGTAAATAACAATCATAAGATATATGATATGATAGATATCTATTAATGATATATAGTAGGCTAAATATCTATTAATGATATATAGTAGGATAAATATATATTAATGATATATAATATGATAAATATCTATTAATGATATATGATAGATATCTAATAATGATATATAGTATGATAAATATCTATTAATGATATATAGTAGGATAAATATCTATTAATGATATATAATATGATAGATATCTCTTAATGATATATAGTAAGATAAATATCTATTAATGATATATAATACGATAAATATCTATTAATGATATATAGTAGGATAAATATCTATTAATGATATATAATATGATAAATATCTGTTAATGATATATAATACGATAGATATATATAAAAGAAATATAGTATGATAAATATCTATTACTAATATATAGTATGATAAATATCTATTAATGACATATAATACGATAGATATATATAAAAGATATATAGTATGATAAATATCTATTACTAATATATAGTATGATAAATATCTATTAATGATATATAATATGATAAATATCTATTAATGATAAATAATATGATAAATATCTATTAATGATATATAATATGATAAATATCTATTAATGATATATAATATGATAAATATCTATTAATGATATATAAATGATAAATATCTATTAATGATATATAATATGATAAATATCTATTAATGATATATAGTATGATAAATATCTATTAATGATATATAGTATGATAAATATCTAATAATGATATATAATATGATAAATATCTATTAATGATATATAATATATAGATATCTAAAATGATATATAGTATGATATATATTAATGATATATAGTAGGCTAATATCTAATGATGATGTAAAAATGATTTTTTTTATTCTCATTTAACAAAAATAATTTTACATCATTAATAGATATTATCACATTATATATCATTAATAGATATTTATATTATATATTATAATATTATATATTGCATAATATATATTCTTTCTTATATATCCTTCAGGACATTGACGATCACAACTTTCCACAACTTTCTATACTTTGGAGGTCTTAGCAAGGTTTCTATTTCCACTATCAAATTCACTAAGCTCTTTTTCCACACTGTGTCACTGAAATTTTCAACTATCTCTTTTTGATTGTAATTATATGTGTTCTTTCTTTTTCCACATTTCTTATAAGCATCCTTGTTGTTCATATGCTCTGCCCATGGTATTCTCAGCATCCTTCTATAAACTACATCTCTGTTTCCTCAAATCTTTTTCTCATCTATGAAGAAATTGTCCAGAATTCTCTGCCATATGGGGGAGATATCAATTGTTCTGCACTATATTCTTTGTTTCTTATGTTTTCCTGTTTCTTAATACTTTGCTTAGTTTTTTTTGAAGGCATCTTTCACTATGAGCATTTCTACTTTAATTTGATAATGCATGAGGTGGCATATAAATAACATTTTTCATTTAATTTTAATTTTGCATTAGTATGGTTAGGTATGCAAGAATATAAGATGAAGTGTACTAAATAATAATTATAATAAAACAATACTAATAACTACCATAATAATAATAATGATGGTAAAATGGGAACATGCAAGATATAAATGATAATAATAATGTCTATAAAGAAAGTAATAAAAACAAAATTCCCTAAATAAATCTTGATAAATAAACATGCACATATATATATATATATATATATATATATATATATATATATATATATTTATATTTATGTTTATATATATATATATATATATATATATATATATATATATATATATATATATATATATATATATATAT